AAAAAACCAAAAAGTACTATTTAGAAGACCAAAAAGTACCAAAAATACTTTCATAGATTCATATTTTTCTTTGAAATTTTTCTTTTATGCTCTTATTCCTTATATAAATATTTTGCCCCATAAGACCTTTTTCACTTTACATCTTAAAAATACATAATATTTACTTCTTGAATTCAGGCCAATGAAAATGATTAAATGTAAAACAAAACAAAAGAAAAAAAAATTGTACAATTTGTAAATAAAAATATTTTAATTGTATAAAAAATAATTATTCTATTTAAAAAAACAGATGGCTTTTTTATGCAATTTTCTTTTCAAACAGAAAAAAGCAATTAATGGTTATTAATAATGGATCTATTAAAAGCTTTTCAAAAATAATTTAAAAAGGAAAGAAGTATATTTCCTGCTATTAATATAATCATTTTGCCACTTACCTAACATTTTCATGCTTTTGTATGTAAATCCGATGAAATTGTCCAGCCACCGGTGAGAGTATATCATTTTTCATTTGCATTGCTACATGCTGAGGTAGTACCGACAATAGTAGTCTTTCCAATTTCTCATTTTCATCCTGTATCTCTAGACGAGCGGCAATACAATTGCGTGTATCTAGAAATGCCCGCCTTTGGGCACGTTCCATCATAATGTTGACCACAAGACCGGCCACATTAACACCAATAAACATAACAATGTTGGCAATAAGCTGGAAAATATTTAAAGTGAATTAATGTTTACTGATTGAGAATTTAATCAAAGAATTGTATACGATTAATTTAAACAAATATTTTATATAAAATTAATGATTACTGATACAATCAGGAAACTGCGTGTCAATTTTATGTTTTTAGATTCAAAAAGTACTATTAAAAGAACTAAAATCTACCAGAAAGCCTCTTTTTATAAATTTACTTTCAATCACGACACTACGTGCTTCATTTTATGTTTATATGTATAAGCACCAGTTGAAGAACGAAAACTACCAAAAGACATCTTTCTTTTAATTTCATGTTTTTAAGTTCAATATTATAAAAACTCAAAAAGTACCAAAAAGTTCCTTTTTATGGGTTCTCATTTACTCCGGTCTCTACATGCTTAATTTCATGTTTCTAGGATCAATAATATAGAAAATTAAAAAAGTATCTTTTGAAGAACGAAAGAGTACCAAAAAGTCCCCTTTTATACGATCTTACTTAATTTCATGTTTATAGGTTCAATATTATGGAAAATTCAAAAAGTACCTTTTGAAGAACGAAAAAGTACCAACAGGTCCTCTTTTATAGGTTCCCATTTACTTCGAGCCCTACATGCTTAATTTCATGTTTCTTGATTCAATATTATGTAAAACTCAAAAAGTACCTTTTGAAGAACGAAAAAGTACCAACAGGTCCTCTTTTATAGGTACTCATTTACTTCGAGACCTACATGCTTAGTTTCATGTTTCTTGGTTCAATATTATAGAAAACTCAAAAGTACCTTTTGAAGAACGAAAAAGTAGCAAAAAGTTCCGATTTAATAGATTCTCATTTACTATGTGCTCTACATTCTTCTAGGTTCAATATTATATAAAATTCAAAAATTACCTTTGAAGGGCGAAAAAGTACCAAAAACTCCCCTTTTTGTAGATTCTCATTAACTCCGGCTCCAAATGCATAATATCATGTTTCTAGGATCATATTATGAAAAACACAAAAAGTACCAGTTAAAAAACGAAAAAGTACAAAAAAATAGTCCTTTGTGCCGGAGTTCCAAGTAAAACCCCATTGGTATAAATCTATCAAGTTCCTTCAATTTTGTTGTGCCAGTGAGTTTGTAGAAAATCAATTTCCCGTTTTTCCCCCTGTTGGTACTTTTTTCTCCCTATTGATGCAATAAAACATTTATTATAAAAAGCATTCACACGTTAATACAAAAAGCAATACATAGGAATCAATGTTTAAGCAAAAAGTACCAAAAATGGGAACAATTTCACCCCTTATCGTCCGAATATCCAAAAAACACTAAATTCGTATTTTTATGTTTTCGTTAGGTGATGAAGGTGTCAAACATATTTGTCGTATGTTCATTGGTTTAAAAGATGCATGGTGTGCAAAAAAAGTACCAAAGCACAGTTTTTACCCGTTTATTCCTAAAGAGGCCGTATTTGAAAATGTACCAGGCACCTGTCCGCAAAAACAGTACCAAAATACAGTTTTTAAACCGTTTATTCCCTAAGGGCCCGAATTTGAAAAATGTACCAGACACCTGTCCGCTATTTTTTAATTAACGACAATAAGCTTTAAACTATTTTTCTATCTTTTTCTATTTTACGAGATATGAGGTTACCGAAATTACCCGTTTTTAAACTTTTACATTCAAATTTCCAAAAATCCGGTCTTAGTGGATCTTTTGGTGGGAGACCAATCTTCTGTCCAAATTTTAGCTTCAACCGTTTAGGCTGTGCAATGATGAATCAGTCAGTCAGTCAGTAACATTATTCCGTTCTATCTATTTTATATTTTAAAAATTTTTATTCAATTTTAAAATTTGCCTTCAAAATGCATTAAGAATTCATATCAATTTTTTTACAAAATTTCTTCCTCACTGATTCTAAATTCAATTTATTGAAATAAATGAAAATGTTTTAAAATTTTCAAACAAGGACGTAATAATGCATTTAAAACAACTTGTGCTACTTTATAGTAGCTTTTTTGCTTTTAGGCACAAAAAAGTAGAAAAACAGCAAACTAAAATCACTTAAAATTGCTATGACCTACAAAACCCCATTAAATCTAACACACTTAACATCAATTGTTATCCAAATAACTAAATTAAAGCATTTAATTATAAAAAGTAACCACCTCTATAGTATTGAAATGATAATTAACCCGAAACACCCTTTAAATAAACATAAATGAAACGAATGAACTGTATGAACTAAATTTTGACTGCTTTTGCTTTACATTCACAACACAGATGATGCGTATGAGTAATATTTAATTTTCTCATATGAATTAAATATTGCTCATACGTAAGTAGTTTAAATAAACAAATGAGTGTTGGTGGGGTGGTTGTTTTTATTAGTCCATACATATGAGAGTAAAGTATATTTTAGCACTTAAACATTTGACCTTTTGAGTTTAACCGCATAACAAAAAGAGCAAAATTAAACAACTAACCACAACGGAAAATGAAGGAAAGAATTAACAGTACACTGTATATCCTTTTGTAGAAAACTTTTAAACCTCTGCTGAGTTGTTAATTTAATAGAATAATACACTTTTGTTATATTAAATTACAGTTTATAAATATGATTTTTATAAAGCTGTGCTAATATGTATACATAAATCAATGTTTTATGGAGTTTTTTTGTTTTTAACCTTATTAAGTATATTGTAGTTTAATTGATTTTTTTTATAATAATAACATTTACCTGATTATATTCCAAATAACGAAATGAATCCGTAAATATTTTATATACAGTTAAACTAATATGCACCAATGGTAGGATTATGCCAAAACAAACAGCTTCCCAGATTTGTAATGGCATCATGGCATACGCCAAAAAGACCACAAATACTATTTGCCAAACACCTTCGGCCATGACCTGTATAATTTTTATAAAAGGAGAAAAACAAATGGTATAAAATCAAATTAGTAAAATGTAAAAATATGTAAAGTACATTATGTAGGTACATAGTAATATAGATTTATAGTAAACTACAATAGTGTGTGTATATTTGAGGTTGTGTGTGTCCAGGGTAGTTTATATTAAAATATTAAAACTACATTTGTTGTTTGTCTGACATGAGATATATGATCAATCTTATAAATACTGATGGTGAGAAAAAAATTGTAGATCTATTTTAAGCATGACCTTCATTTTTATAAAACTTAATTATAATTAATGTTTGAAAAAATGTTTGGTTTGTTAAAACCATAAATTAATTATAGAAATGAGTAGTTTATAGCTGATGAAAGAATTTAGCATTTAAATAATGTTGTGTTTTCTCTAAACCATCTATGTTTAACAATTTGTTTAATTTTGATCATCATTACCTCTGATTCTTCCTTTATAAATAAAAAAATAATAATAAAATTAAAAAAACATAATAATATTAATATAATTAATACTTATTTAATGTTATAAGAAGTACACTGTAAAAAATGGAATAAGAGAAGTATGAAATAATTTTAGTCCAAATTTATGACGAGTATCAATGTATTGGACCCACAATAGTATATCCATGAGATTGTAAATTCACCAATACAAAGTGGGGTCTTTTTACTTCCTTTTTAAAAGAAAAGTAGTTATCTCAATGTAAACATGTATGGAAAATAGACCGAAATATGACCAAATATACTATTCATGAAATCGTATACCGATATTGCCCATTTTCATACAAACAATCCATGACAATAGAGAATGAGAATATTTATGGAAGATTTAAGCACTAAATCTCCTCCCGTTTGGATCTCATCGAGCATTCATAAGATATGCAAACAGACAGACAGACAATGTGGGTCTACGACCAATATTGTTGAACAATCTATTGACATTATATTTAATTTTTGTGGAATATTTGTGAAAATTTTCAGCACTATAGCTGATCCCCTTCAGATCTTACCAGACTTTCAACAGACAGACGAATGTCGAATGCTTAACGTGAACACCTGTCATGACGGCCATATTTCAAGGTGGTCTTTTTCATCCACTGGGTAGACTAGAGACGGTCTACCACGTGCCCCTGAATCCTTCTATGAAGAACTCAGGTGACAATTTTTGTACATGGCTCAGCCGGTCCATGTTGAAGAACTCGAGCTATCTAATCTCTTGCCATATTAGCCCCGTTGCGGATGGGATTAATCCCAATGCAAACCCCGACAAGAAAAAAGCAATCACTGGCCTAAAGTTAATAGAAGGGGCGACAAACCCCAAACATCAACTGAAATAAAACCCTTATGATGTCATGCAAGATTGCATTATTTAAAATGCAATCTCCATCAACTAATGACCCATTCCATTGTATTCCTAAACCTCTTAAAGCCCGCGCAACCACACTACTGAGATGGCTCTGTTGATTCGGCAACAGCACCTAGAGACATATTTGGTAGTCCGGTATATCCAGCGAATAAATCAGGATCCCTCCAAAGTCAATTCGAACCAAATAATTGCCCCGACAAGTTGAGCGGTGGACCTCAACCATAAGTCGCGTTGCATGAAACAATATGAATCCTGTTGAGATGGCAACAGCACCGAGAACTTCTCTGAAGTAAAAGGTCTACTAAATCAGTACTAGTCTCCTGTCGGGCAGAGGAGTCTTTCCCGATCGTTCACCAATCACATCAGTTCCATTCTTAGACCATAAAGAACGATCTACGGAATGACAGGTAACTACCAAGTGGCAACCTAAAAATTCCCCAACCTATACTGGCGCCTTACTACGCGAAGAGTAAGAGATGCTCAACGGGATCAGGAATCTAGCATAAGTTACTCTGTCACATTACCCAGTGACATCTGTTGAGATGGCAACAGCACCGGAAAGAGAATACAGACATATATGGCATTTGGATATATCAGTCCCTAAACCAACATTCTATCTATGGATATAAACCACAGCCACTACGTGGATCCCGAATGAACCTCAACCAACTGACCAGCCAGGACAAGTCCTGCGAGCAATTGGCCACCTGTAGTGCCAAATTATACGGTACTCTGGTTAGACCCCATGTCAAATCATTCCAAGGAAAGGCCGAGGATACATTTGATTATCACCAGTTTATAGTCTCGGTAAACTAAAGGTATTTGTAGCACCTCCTTCCTCCAGGATATTGCAAAAACACAAGGTGGAAATTTCACCAATGCCCCCGGGGGGAAGACAGACAGACAGACAGACAGACCGACTGAGGAACATGTATATTTTAGTGAATTTACGACCAATATTTCCATATGATAACAGACCCTATCGTGCTTTCAGCGGACAGACCGATGGACGGACATGTGGGAAGTTTTGCTTTATTTATTAAAAAAAAGGACGCTGGCTCTATCGGTTCAAATGTGCGAGAAATGTGCAGATCGCCCAGACCAGCCAAAAACGTTAGAATACCAAAAAATTTTTGAGGACATTACTCCATGAAGACTATTATCAATCTCAACAAGAGCTTGCACAATCATTGGTGATTACATTACATTATTGGGCAGCTATTTTAAAACGTTTTCAAGCAGCTGGATTCACCAAAAAGCTGGAAAATTTAATACCATACGATTTAAAGTTAGAGACTTTGAAAGAAATGCCCAAAATGCTGCTACATCGCACAGTGCAGTGAAAATGGATACATTACGATAATCTGAATGGCCAAAGCTAGTTTTTAAAGCCCGGACAATCAGACAAATCGACACCAAAGCTAAACGTACAAGACAGTAAGGTAATGGAACCATAGCAGTCATATATGTATATACAATAAACTGCTTAAATCTGGACAGAATATGGCAAATAACAGGAAACCTGTACCGAATGCAACTGATATGTTTGAAGCGAGTATTGGCAACGAACATGTTGCAATATCTGTTCGTTACCCTCGTTCGTTCTCTCGGTGATACGCTTGACTTCAGAACAAGATATCCGAAATTCATATGATTTGTTATTGGACTCAAAAGATAATCAGTTCTTTTTTTTAAACCCATTATATTAATTTGTTATATGTAAGATATATTTGTTTATAATAAATCCCTTGTTATCTAATCCACTGTCCTCAATTTTCACATTTAAAACAAAAAAAAAAGTTCAACTTACCTCTTTGGTATCCACCGGAAACACGGAACCTAATGTTGGCATCGATACAATACAAATGGCAGCAGTAAACAATAAAATACCATAACACAGACAGGGTAAATGATGATCTTTGATCACGCGACATTGTAACAATATTAAAATTATGGCAAATAACAGGCACACAAATGAATTGAAGACATTCTGTTGGAAGATAAAAAAAATCACAAAAAAAAAACAAATATATCAATTACAAAAATAAAAACAAACACAAATTATTTGCTTCTTATTAATATACTTACATGAAATGTAGGAGCATTATTATAAGCTAAAGATAAAGCTGCCATAACACCACATAGCACCACAACCAAAGCCACTACACCCAGCACCGAGAAACGTTGCAATTTCAACGTATAACGTTGATACAAACACTCTAATTCATCATTTTCAAAACGCAGTGTATTCCAGGGACGACCACGTGTAGCTTTAACCGCATGATCCATGATAAAATCAATTTTGGCTTAATTTATAGTTTACTTAAGTTATGTATAAAAATTAAAAATATAAAATAGTGGGTGAAGTAAAAAAAGTTTGAAAAGAAATTTTGTGTAAAAATGCCCAACCAACCACCACCGCCTTGGGTGAGGCGGTTTTTTAAAATGACGAAGCCAAAATTAGAAGAGTTTTTAGAGATGTTGAGAAGCTGTTGCGGCTAATGGCATTTGTAACTGAAAAGAGAAAAGAGAATATCAATTAATTACATATAAAGAATCTGGATATGAAAATCAAATATTTAATCTATCTATCTATCTATCTATCTATCTATCTATCTATCTATCTATCTATCTATCTATCTATCTATCTATCTATCTATCTATCTATCTATCTATCTATCTATCTATCTATCTATCTATCTATCTATCTATCTATCTATCTATCTATCTATCTATCTATCTATCTATCTATCTATCTATCTATCTATCTATCTATCTATCTATCTATCTATCTATCTATCTATCTATCTATCTATCTATCTATCTATCTATCTATCTATCTATCTATCTATCTATCTATCTATCTATCTATCTATCTATCTATCTATCTATCTATCTATCTATCTATCTATCTATCTATCTATCTATCTATCTATCTATCTATCTATCTATCTATCTATCTATCTATCTATCTATCTATCTATCTATCTATCTATCTATCTATCTATCTATCTATCTATCTATCTATCTATCTATCTATCTATCTATCTATCTATCTATCTATCTATCTATATAAAAGAGTAATGATTGTTATATATTTTCTGGTTTATAGGCTTGCCTATCTTTTCTATTGGCTAGGGACTAGTCTATTGACTATACTATTGAATAAATAGTCTATAAACTTTGCTTATTTTTTTAACTTAGTTACAGACTGGTTAACGAAGTCCCCGAACTGGTATACTGAACAAGTCGGTGTTTGTAGGAAGGCCATAGGAACATGCTGGGGCATAAATCCAAAGAATGTTCACTGGCTCTTTGAGGCAGTTATTAAACCTATTATGCTATATGGGATTGTTGTATGGTGGCAGGCGCTTGAAAAGGCTTCACTCAGACAACAACTGGAAAAAGTAATGAGATCAACTGCGCTTCTTATCACAGGCGCTCTCAGAACAACACCTTCGAAGGCGCTGTTCAATATGCTCAACTGGCTCTCGGTCGATCTCCTTGCAAGGAAATTGGCTATGTCAACTGCGGCCAGATTGAGTGTAACTGGCAAATGGAAACAATGCTCCATAGGCCATGCTAGGATCATAGATCTTATACCGGAAAATCAGTACATTGTTGATTATTGTATTCCAGTACCGTCTCTAGTGAGAAAGTTCCAATATCATATATCTTCGGAGTATGGGGAATCTCTCCTTCCGCCGAATAATTGCTTCCGAGTGTGTACAGACGGATCCAAGACGACGAAAGGAGTTGGTGGTGGCATTTTCATTGAGGAATTTGGAACGAAAATCTCCTTCCGACTTAATGATGAATGTAGTATCCTTCAGGCTGAAATATCGGCGATAAGGAGGGCGGTAAATTGGCTAAGGTACTATCGGATATCTAATAGGGATATCAGAATTTATACTGATAGTCAAGCTGCTATTAAATCCCTAACTGGTGTGTTCTCCACATCCAAAATTGTCCATGAATGCCGGACGTCTCTCAATGAGATGGCGAGACATTCGAACATCACCCTAATTTGGGTAAAGGGACATGGGAATTCGTATGGCAACGGTATTGCTGACACATTGGCAAGAGCTGGCACTATGCTTAGCAGAATGGATATTGATCAGTTCTGCGGTATACCACTACTTGCAGTTAAGAGGCAAATCAGTGAAAAATGCCTCTGCATCGCTCGCATGTAGACATGTAGAGCACTGTGGCCACAAATGGATCCTCAAAGGTCTAAATATCTTCTTGGTCTCCAAAGACCGCAGTTAAGTAGGCTGATATCGATAATCACTGGCCACTGTAAATTTGGGAACCATGCTAGACGCATTGGTCTCCCGTTCAACGACTACTGTAGGAGTTGTCAAAACGAGGATGAAGAAGAGACTATTACTCATCTTCTCTGCGATTGTCCTGCTTTGGCGGAGGCCCGTTTTCAGACGCTTGGATCGACCTATTTTGGTGATCTAACCGAATTGTCAAACATTCAATTAGAACGTCTTCTAGAGTTCATTAATTTGTCAAAATGGGTGTGAATCCTATTACTCACACTACTCATCCACGGCAGCTGCCCTGGCTTTCTCATTTCTCATCATCTCCTTCTCTTTGCAACTGTCTCTGTTCTTTCACTCTCCTCTATCTCTCCCTCTCTTCTCTTTTCTTCATCTTACAGGTATTTTTACAAAGGGATCAACATGGACCCAAGTAAAGCCGAATACCTGTGTAAACCTAACCTAACCTATGGACTACTTATTGTATAGTTTGACTTATTGCACTATATTTCGATATCAAAAAATACTGAAACATGTACAAGAGTTCTGAATTTTCAACGTCTGTTAAGAATTCTTCTTAAATTAGCAGAAAATCTAAAATTTAAGAGAATCTAAAGGGTCACTTCAATTAAAACTGAAACGAATTTTAGCATTTATTAATTTCAAACAGAAACTTATCCTATTAGGTTAAGTGTTGCTATTTCCTATTGATTTTTCTACCTACAAATATTTATGGATGAATTTTTTAATTTCTTTATATTTTTAAATTATCATTTGAAAAATCTACACCTTGTAAATAATCTAAAAATACTTGTATATTTTCACTTTCTCTGTGATTTGTTTACATTACATACACAGTTACTACCCAGCAGTTTTATAAGCTATCAAGGTATCCTCTTTTTGGGGAGTATTCTTTCAAATGTCTAACTACTTAGTTGTCTCGATTTTATATATTTTTGAGTAATTTTACAAGTTTAAACCTTTTTGTAATATGAAGATCTCTAATTACTTTAGCGTCCTTAAGTAGTCTAGAAAGTAGTCAGTTTAACTTTTCTGTACTGTTCCTTGGAAAACAATGTCTTAACTTTCTAAAAGCAATATACATATTGCAAAGTTAATTTTTCATTTCTTTGTACTGTAGAGAAGAAATTACTAATCACTTTAATATCCCTAAGTAATCTAGAAAGTATACAGTGTAACTATTCTGTATAGTACCTTACAAAAGTAATCTAAATTAAGATACATAACTATCTGAGTTTCCCTAATTTCATATCCACTTCCCCTAACTGCAGGGCTAGTGCATGTGTGTAAATTTGTAAGTAAAAAGCATATCAATGTATTTGTTGCATGCTACCAACACTTTAGCAAATTTGTTTAGTTCATAACACAGAAGCAGAAAAAAAAAACACAAAAATAACAACAGCTATAATAACCTTACCACAAAAAAGTGTGGGAAAAATGACTTTGTAGTTGTAATGAAACGATATACAAACATATTTAGATACATATGTATGTATGTTTGTACATGTGTGGCATGATGGTGTTAGATGGAAATAGAGGAGAAAGAAAAAATTCTATAAACTAAACTGAACACGAATGATTTTATGCTTCGTTAACTGTAAAAATTCTATAATTATTTACAACAACACAAGAGATTTTTTTTCTTTTCACCAGATCTACTACTACTATCTACCGTAAACGTCAAGGTGGTTTATATATGAGATAAATATGAAATATTGAAATTTAAATAAGGAATTTAAAAATTTTTAAATGTATTCGTTAATATGTAAAAATGGTTGAAATTATGATTGATTTATTTTGAAAAATTTTATATGCAATTGATTGATATTTTATGTATTAATAAGATGTACAAATGATTTGAACAAAAATGCATTAGAAAAAAATTTTGGGAAATATGGAAGGTGCTTAAAATATGATCTTGTAGAATGTGGTGTCTTTGAATTAATGGTTTTGTGAATGTTATGTTAAAAGTCATTTTTTAATTAATTAGGTATGTACTCAATATCAACAAGTTTTCAACTAGAACTATTATGGAAATTTTTGTGATATGAATAAGATATTTCTAAATGACTATTCCGACAATCACAAGGAACTGTATCGAAAGCAACGGGTTCGTTTGAAGCGATCATTGTTTAAAAACGCCCATATTATGCTACCATACGTGATGAACTTTTATCCCAACATGACAACGCTGAGCCATGTGTTTAGAAGGTCGCGGTTGGAAAGATTTGCCTCACCCGCCTTATATACCAGACCCGTCCTACTATTAATAATTAATTTCATAAAACAATTATATAGAAAACAAGTAAGAGTTCTATGTTCGGCTGTGACGAATCTTATATACCCTTCACCATGATGTCTTAAAAAAAAAAAAAACAATCAGTACGAATTTTATTATAAAAAATCTAAAAATACCACTTGTAAAACGAAAAGTACCAGATATGGATTTTCATTTAATCAGGGAGCTGTGTGTGCATAGCACCAGGTATCCCTTGAAGAAGGAAAAATCCCCTTTTATATGTTCTTACTTACCAGGCTTTACATGCTTAATTTTATTGTTCTAGGTTTGATATAATAGAAAAATCAAAAAGGCCTTTTTGAAGATCGAAAAAGTACCAAAAAATCCCCTTTTATATGTTCTCACTTACTCCAGGCTCTACATGCTTAATTTCTTTGTTCTAGATCTAATATTATAGAAAAATCATAATGGCCTTTTTGAAGATAGAAAAAGTACCAAAAAATTCCCTTTTATATGTTCTCACTTACTCCAGGCTCTACATGATTAATTTTATTGTTCTAGGTTTAATATTATAGATAATTCAAAAAAAAAGTCATTTTCGAAGAACGAAAAAGTACCAAAAAATCCCCTTTTATATGTTCACACTTACTTTAGGCTCTACATGATTAATTTTATATTATAGAAAATTCAAAAATGTACCTCTTGAAGAACGAAAAAGTACTAAAGTACCCTTTTATTTGTTCTCACTTACTCCGGGCTCTACATACTTATTTTCATGCTTCTAAATTCAATATTATAGAGAATTCAAAAAGTACCTTTTGAAGAACGAAAATGTACCAAAAAGTACACTTTTATAGATTCTCACTTACTTCAGCCTCTACATGCTTAATTTCATCTTTCTAGGTTCAATATTATAGAAAATTCAAAAATGTACCTTTTGAAGAACAAAAAAGTACCAAAAAGTGCCATTTTATAGATTCTCATTTA